CCAACGGCGTAGCGCACCCCTTCCCCCCACCTGGTGCGCAGCTCGCCTCTGCAACGGAGCGCTGCTCGTCACAAACTTGAGCCGGGCCGCACTTTGTCTCCGACTTCGCTCGACTTCGGCTGACGATCGAACGCTCTCCTCCCCCATCATCCTCCAACTCTGTTCTACGATCGCGGGTCGACCCGCCGCCCCGAGTAATGACCGTGACGTGGTCGGCGCCCGGGGCCATCACCAGCATCAGCATTACCAGGAACAGCCGCAATAGCACGAGCGCTGCTAAGCCAAAGAGGACAGCGAGCGTTGCGATGAGCCCGAACCCAAGCGGCTGAAAGATACTCATTGGGCCCGACATCCTACCCGACACGCGACCATGAGGAACAAGGGCCTGCCCGCGATTATCCTTCTGCTGGCGGCCGGGTGCGCCGCCGGCGACGGGGAGGCTTCCGCGAGGCTCGGTGCGATCGTCCCCTCGGAGCCCCAGCAGCAGTTCGAGGAGGCCGCGAGCCTCGGGTCCAGTCTCGCCAACTGGACCGGCCTTCACGAGACCCTCGACTTTTTCAACCCGAGGAACCTCGCGCGCAACTGGAGCCCGCTCCTGGTGCAGACCCTCGGCGACGAGTGCGCACGCGACGTCGCGCGCTACCTCAACGGCCTGAGGAGGCAGGAGCTCTGGGCCATTAAGAGTAAGTCCCATTCTTTATAAATTGGCTTTTGCTGGCGGCTACGCCTCGAGGAAGCTTCGTTGCTTCCTGAGCGCGGTTGGCGAGGGTGTTAGGAGTGCGAGGTGCGCGGCAACGAGGTGACACCTCGTTATATAATAATCAGAGGCCCCTTATACCGTTAGGTTACCGAGGTCCTTTTGTAAATGCGGTCGCCAACCGCAGCCAACGGCGAATCGTTTCACCGTGGAGCCGAATTCGAGAACATCATCACTCCGCGATTTGATAATGACACGCCTCAATCCTTTATTAATAACCTTTCATAATGTCCCGGCAATAAATAAGTATAAAATAAAATGCCGGACAAAATTTTATTATATATACAATATATGCAGTATGAATAGTAATTCCAATTGTTATTACAATGAGATTTATAGTATCTCTATGTAAGGTGTATTGCCATCTCCTTTGTCTATTGGTTAAATAAACATTCGAGATAATGATTGCAATCATCAATTATTCGTCGTATTTTATTAAAAAAATTTTGATAGATTAACAATATAGGCGTTCAAGGGGAAAAATAGTTTGTTAATGACGAACATATGATGGCGATTTTTTAAGCTGACGGATGAAAATTCAGCATTTTGTAGGGCTCAAATTACTTAACAATTTGTATATAACAAATTAGCCTCTCAGTACAAAAGTACAATTATCTTATTGTATATATTTTATTTGTTAGCATTGTTAAAGCTATACTTTACCAATGATTGATTTAGGCAATTTAGAGAAGGTAAATTAAAAAAGAAAAAGAAAAAAAAAATCGCTTATTAAATAATTCTTTATTCTAATATCATTGCGAAGAATAATTAATTTCAGAGAAAGTTTTATCGTTTTTTCTTTTCTTTTATTTTTATGTTAAAGTTCTCTCATAAATAAAGTAAAAGTTAAATTATTATTAGAGAAATTGTTTAATTGAATTTTGTTTCCATTATATGGTAATGCCAAGTAATATTTCACTTGAATTACTTTTAAATGTCTGCTCGTTAATTATGCAGTTTGATAATAATAGCCGAGAGTATTTACAAATCAAGTATGAATTTAGAATATAAGATGTGTGCTTAAAGTCAAGTGAAAGCTAAAACTCTCCATAAACTTACAATTAATATATAATATTCGAGACTTAACAGTGTCCTTAACAAATATTATAAAATTATTCACTTGAAGCATCTCAATCTACGAATATTAATAATCAACCAAATCTCTCTCTCTCTCTCTCTCTCTTCTCAAATATTGAATGCTCGCAAAAATTTATGAATTATCCGCAGTGTCGCTTCTCTTCTCCCGAGTCATCATAAATCGGCTCACCTTCATAAAAAAAAAAAAAAAAAAAAAAATCATGGCAATAGAAAGCGAACGTGAACCGAGCGAATTTCGATTATTCGGCGTAAAAAGCCACTATTATCCATTCTATCGGCAAACTATATTAAATTTCTTATAACTGAACATTTCAGCCACCACGTGTCAATTATATATTATCCTGGGATGCTTCGTCACTGAGATGAAATTGAAAAATCCTCATTGCATTAGTTGACCGACAAATTGTATCGGTCGGCACTGCAAGCGTTAACTCAATATCTGTCTTTATCTCTTTTACATTCTCATTGAAAATACCTGATACATGTTTTTATTATTCCATCAATACTTCCTTACGTACTCTCTCTCTCTCTCTCTCTCTCTCTCTCTCTCTCTCTCTCTCTACGATCATATAAAATAAATAGATCAGACTGTAGTTAACAATAAGTGTATTTTATCGAAATTTGTCATTCGTTGAAAGAAGAAAAAGATAGAGGCAAAAGAAACTTAAATTACACGATTAAAACAATAATTATCGTCCTTATCTCGCCTTTATCAAATAATTTTCAATCGTTATATTATAAGATTGCAATGCGCTTTAATTATATTAAATTAATCCTTGGATTATTATAGACTGAAAGTGAAACTTTATCGAATCGTTCGTATTTAAAGAAGCACGAATAAACACAGAATTTCTATACTTTCTCCAAAGATTCATTATAATAAGAATTTTTTATGGATTTTAATCAAGAGAGAGAGAGAGATAGAGAGATAGAGGGGGAGAGAGAGAGAGAGAGAGAGAGAGAGAGAGACGTCGCTTAACAATAGCTTCTTAATCTAATTAATATGCAATGGTATTATCGTGCTTAAATCTTAAGCTTAGGATGCGAAGAGGAAAGTCGATTTTTGTTTATCTATTCGCGTCGTAGACTAATCATCCAAGCGACACAGTTGGAAAATTATACAACGACCAAAG